GCATGCATGCAACTAACTGAAAAAAGTTTGAGTTTAGCTATAACAAAAAAATAAATATAAAGAAACTAACAATAAACAGAAGCACTAAATGAACTAAAAATTATTTTAAATGAAACAAATATATATTTTAAATGAAAAACATTTAAATGAATTCTAAACATTAAAATAAAAGCTAATTCAAAATGTTAATGAGTACTATAATCGAATATAAACACAACTATAAATATTAAACTAAAAATATTATAGGTCGAAGGGGTTAAATTGACAAAAAGTTGGGAATCCCCGAGTTACCTGAAGGTTTTTGTTATTTGCAGTGATATAGCTGTACCAACTGATGGCAGCACCCACCCAGACAAAATTTCGTATTCGCTCTGTCTCGTGCTTGATCATAATTACAGCGACGTAGTTGCATCTGTAATGTGTAAACACGCTCCAGTCTAAACAACGACAGCTTGAGGATAAATTCATGAAATAATTTCATATTCCAATCTGTGTTGTCGCAGAACTAAGAATGAGCGCTGGGATGATGACAGGCTGTGAGGCATTTTTCATCATTTCAATCACTTTGATGGATAAGTTCTGTCCGGCTGTCAGCTTCAGAACAGTATGTTGATGTTTGTGTGTTCTATTCCCCTGGGTTAATCTGCCACGATCATCAGTTTCTGTACAGAGACAGCCATCGGTTATAATTGATCTTCATATGACAAAGGACGATCAGAAAACAGCTTCTTTTTTGGTATCTCAGTATCCTCCTATGCAAAGTATCCTAGTATTCATTTTACATTAAACATCATATTAATGTTCACATTATAGTTATATATGAAAGAATAAAATTGAGTGAAATGGGTAAACTCTGCTACTAGATGTGTTATTCAACATACAAGACTACACTAGAGGTGTACAAATTCAACATACAAACACAAATCCCTCTGAGGCCATAAGACAGTAGATTTTAGTATTCTCTTTTTTAAGGGGACAGTTCATCCTCAAAAATAAATAAATATTCCAAACCCATATGACTTCTGATGTGGAACACAAAAGGAGATGTTTAACAGAATGTCCAAGCTGCCCTTTTCCAAACAATGAACGTGGATAGGGACTAGGAACTCTCATTGTATGGAAAAAAAATCTCCTTTTGTAGTTTTGTTTGGAAAGGCATGAGGGCGAGTAAATTGTCAAGGGCAAAAATTTAATGCTGTGGGTCTGTTTCAAAAAGACAACTGATGCTCTGCGCCAGGGTTGTGGTTATGAAGCTTATGATAAGAAATCAGAGAAAGAAGAGGTCTTCAGAGAAGAACACAGTTGCATCTTTCTGTGAGACAAATTGATTTGGTGGATGATCACTGGATGTGGCTTTCCTTTAGGTGCAGGTGCCATGGATTGATTTTAATGTGCCACGGGGAGCACAAAGCCCCTCACTGTTTTGTTTTGAGAGTAGTTTCAGGTAAGATAAGAGGTCACAGACATGCACGCAATCTGTGACCTCATTCATTCAAGATTACAATGTTGAAGACAAAAAAGAGAGGGACGGCTTGGGGGTTTTGATTAAGAGTTATGAGGTTAGCAGATTAGGGACAGGGAAAACAGTATTACGGCGGTCTAAACCGAATCCCAGAATTAATCAAAATACTAAAAAGGAAAAAAAACCTTAAGCTGGCAGTAAACATCATCACATTCAGCAGCACAGCAATATTATGCCATCTGTGTGAATTTGAATAAAAGCTCTTATTCACTGCTGCACTACACAAGTGCAGAGATATGATGACATTCACTCGGTATGAGGCACTGATACTTTTTCTTAATTTCAATGTTTTTCAGAACATCACCTTAGCTCCACACAAGCTCACCCCCACAATCCCAGCCATGCTGCATCATTGAGAGAAATGGGCGTTATGAGCCGGATCTTGATCTTTTCAAAGACCTTGTTCAAGAGTGAGCAAATATTCTCCAGTGCAGAATATAAAGGTTAGTTAGATAACAGCACCCACTATACACCTTCTCGCTTTCCTCTCTTGACCTCACACAGGCTGGGTGTCTTGAGGTCTGTTTCTGCAAAAGATCATCATAAAAGAAGCTAAATCAAAAACGTAATTAATATTTAAGTACCACAGTAATGGAATAATGCTGATAAAAATATGGACAGAAGTAGTTAAAGAAACATACAACCAGAAAAGAAAATTATGAGTCATCATTTATAGCTACTAACCTTCCTTAAGTAAAATGTCCAAGCTGCTCTTTTCTATTTAATGATAGTAACGGGGGGCTGTCAAACTTAAGAAGAAAAAAAAAAAACCTTTCATAAGCCTGACAGGATGCGTCCTGTAGCAAAATTGAATATGCTTATGCACCAATGAGCTGATTTTAACAAAAAGTTGTAGGGACTGTTTTGTCCTTTTTGGAGGTTGACAGCCTCTTTGATGTATACAAGAAGAAGAAGTAGAAGAAGAAAAAGAACAACAAACCACGTGAAGGAACACCGTAAACATAGACTGTAAAAAAAGATGGACGACGCATCTCCTATTCCTTCCACTATATAAAAGTGAAGCCAAAGCATCTCAGAATGGCCGCTGCCATCTTGAGTAAATGACGTCATTTGGAGCCCAAGTCTGCGCAGTAAAGATTTGTTTGGAGCCAGTCTGCGCAGTAGTGTCGTGAGGTGGAGCCGCGGTATCAAACTCCCGCCCAAACTCCCGCAGACCCAATCAACCATAACGACACGCCCCGTTTTTGTAGCATCAAATTACTAGCTAAAATCAAACTTATCACAAAAACGAACAATTGAACATATATCAGCGTGATAACAACTACCTTAAAATGACCAAAACCATCTTTCGGAAAATTGTATTGGAAGTGTAATTTATTTTTTAATTTTGACTCAAGTCCCATTCGTTTACATGGAGAGGGCGGGGTTTATGACCTGTACTCGATCAAAGTGCCCGCAGCTTCACTTTTCAGGACGTGTGAGGCACACCCGGACCGTAAAATACCGCAATCTGCCGCGACACCTCAGAATTTATAGCACAAACCCGGATGTTCGACATTTTAGAACGAATGATTCTGAGTAACTTATTTATTTTCAAAAACATACAGCACAACCACTGTCCGATTTCCAAACGAATTATTCTTTTTTTTTAGTGAATCAAAAATATGCAGCGCAACCAGTGAATTCCAATTATCAAATGAGTGACTCTAATGAGCCATTTTTTAGTGAATCAAACAGGCAGCAGTTACTAGCGTGTAATTAAAGATACACATTTTGTCAGTAATAGGGTACTTTATGAATATTGATGAATGAAAGATGTGTTGTGAAAGTGACGTGACATGTGGCCAAGTATGGTGACCCATACTAGGAATTAGTGCTCTGCATTTATCCCATCCTAAGTGCACACACACACACACACACAGCAGTGAACAC